TAATATTTTTTCATCCAATGTAATTCTGAGTGAGTCTGTGAGTCAACTACATGTGTTATTTTAAAAGAAAATAACACATATGGAGTTTAGTATTGTATGCTACTATATTTAGCTTTATGTGTATACATATTCTATATTATACTCCCTAAAGTAGCACTAAACAGAGAAATACTGAGGAAAACAAAGAGAAAAGAATACATTTCCATGTTTTTGATCCTAGTCGAGTTTACAAGGAATAACTTGGCATTCAAAGATAATGTGTATTTGTATATTTATATGTACATATGTGTATGTATGTATTTATATAAGTGTGTGTGTATGTGTGTATATATATATACACACACACACATGTAAAAATATTGAACAATAAAGACATAAAGCAAGCCCTATCCCTGGGTGTTTGCTCTTTACCTGCAAGGCCTTTAATTGATACCTTTAAATGTATGTTGTTTATTTTTTTAAGGAACTCATGAGATTTGCTGAAAAATATTGCCAACTTGTTCTAAAACAAACTGTAGTTATTTTACAGTATACTTTGTCTTGTCTGGAGAGTCTTCAGTTATTTGAGTTACGTATTAGAGTAAATTTGCTTGGGTTCTACTTTACAGTTATTGATGAGAAAATAATGACAAGTTGGTATAATAGGGAGATACGCTGTATACTTTAAAGAGTGTGTTTCTAGTTGCAGTGTTCATGCTAAGTATTTAGATGGCTTGCATTAAACACCAGCTAACTGATCTGGATTCAATTTATACTTGTAAAATTAAGACACTGAAACCAAATGGATTTTAAAGTTTATTCTTGCCTGAAAGTTTCATCATTACTTTGAAGGCTTGAAAGACTACAGCATTAATCAAAAACCTTAAATATCAGTGTTCAGTATCAAGTATGCAAGGGGCAAAATAAATGCTTTATACATCCAGGATGAGAGGAACACATGCCACAATGTGGAGTTTATAGAGTCCTTACAGAAAAGCCATAAAGATGAGATAAGCCTGTGGTTGATGGATTAAATTAATAAACATGTAAAGGAATAAAGGACTGGTAATGCTTAAGAAAACTAGAAGAAACAGACAAAGAACAGCTATAAATAAAATTCTGTCCATGTAGCAACTCTTCATAGCACCATAGACCAGGCACTGTCCTTATCAAAGATCCAAGGCTGAGACTGACTAGCTGAGGTCGGACTAAGCTTCTAGTGATTTGGGAAAAGACAATTCCCTATGGAGTTGTTTGAACTCAGGTAGGCAGAAGGCACACAGGAGAATCCCGTCACTTGACTTGATGATGCACAATACCAGAAGGTTTTGCCAAAATCTTGACTACATGTCAATTGCTAAATACTCTATGTAGTGAGTTTCCAAACTGAATCTGTAATTTCTTTTATATACGTTAGATTTCTCAACAAAAAGATGGGAGATACAATGGTGGTGGTGGTGGTAGCGGTGGTGGTGGTGATGGTGGTGTATGTTTGTGTGTGTGTGTTGATATAGATAGATAGATAGATAGATAGATAGATAGATAGATAGATAGATAGATAGATAGACAGACTCACTTTTTATTCTCAGATACTGGAGGTTATAGTTGAGAATGGTGGGAGGTGGGAAGATAGAAGGAATGAGAGTGGTGTTCTAGCCTCTTATGGGGTATACTTCCTAACTGCTGTGTCATCTGGAATGCCATCAGTTTCCAGGATAACCTTTTTGAAGTATAATATGTAAAATATACAATACAGCTAAGTGGGTTCTTAAACACTGTTGTGCTTCAGGGATGAGCCTGCTTATGATGGTCTCTCAGCTCCCTAAGCAAGGGTTAAAATACCTTCACCACTGAGGAAGCAGTATGCTCCTGAGGCTCATGGCATAGATGTAGGTTTTTTTTTTTTTTAATCAGCCTTTTGCTTTAAAGCAGTGGTTCTCGACCTTCCTAATGCTGCAACTCTAAAGGGATACAGTTCTTCATGTTGTAGTGACTCCCCCAACCATAGAATTATTTCATTGCTACTCCATAATGGCAATTTTACTACTGTTATGAATTGTAATGTAAATATCTAATATGCAGGATATCTGACATGCAATCCCCAAGGGATTGTAACGCACAGGTTGGGAACTTCTGCTTTAAATTGTCTTTCCAAGCTCTTGGCTAATCATGAACTATCACTGGGTTTGGTGGGGTTTTCTCCTTTACATTTTTGAATAGGTGATAAAGACAGCAGAGTCGTGGTTCTGGTTTGCATATGAAGCATCCTCTGCAGGCTCGTGTCACCAGCTGGTGACTCTGATTTTGGAGGCTGCAGAATGTTTAGAGGTGGCTCTGCTGACAGAGGTTGTTCACTAAGAGTGGATTTTTGAAGATTATAGACTTTATGGCTTCTGGTCTCAATCTCAGCTTTCTGATTGGCAATGACCGTATGTATGCCTAGCAACCTCATGCCCCTATCATCACAGAGGATACTGTTCACATGCTGAACTTTCCTAGTCTTCATGGACTGTAATCTTCTGAGACTGTAGGCCAAAGCACATCTTTCTTCCCTTAAATTGCTTCTTACAGGCATTTTATGACAGTGAAAAGAACATCACGGGTACAGTGACATTGGCCTGTGCAGCATCTAGACAGTATAGTAGCATTGGCCTGGCAGCATCTAGATGGTACAGTGGCAGTGGTCAGTGCAGCATATAGGGTTTGTTAGAAAGGTAGATGCCAGATGCCACCACTTTCTGTAGTAGGACAAAATCTGTATTTGAATCAGAAAACTGGATAACTCATATGCAAGTGAGAATTGAAGTTGACAGCAGAATAGTTATTGTATATTTACATTTCCTTTTGATCTATAGCAGATTTGTATGTTCTGAAAATGTCAGTAAATTATAAAAGTGCAAAAAATGATACCTAAAAGCAAAAATAATCTCAAAACCAAGCCAATATAAGTAGGCAGACTACCGTATAGCATTAACATGTAGTATTGGTGAAAATTATGCATGGAAAGCTTCAGAAGACATGTAACATGGCATAGGAAGTGAAAGCCACTGGCCACTAGTTGATTCCTGAAAACAAATCATAGCTGAGACTTGTGTAACTTTCATGCCAATAGCAACACCATGTCCTAGAAAGTGAAAGATATGTAGGTGACATGGAAGACCGATTATGGCTTAGGACAACTGGTTTATGCAGAGAGAAAGAACTAATTAAATGGGCAGTGCCAGGCTAGGAGAGAGGCTTTGCAGAGTTTACCCTGGGCCATTTCCTTGGAGTCTAGTCCATACAGAATTGGTTGGATGCTGAGGAACTGGATCACGGCAAATTCACATCAAGTGCAGCTGCTCACATGAGGATCAGTAGCAAAGGCTGTATCAGAAAACTTAACATGGTGCTCAAGAAGCAACCTTTAGTGGGTTAACGTTTTTCTCTGAGAACTTTACAAAGCTTCATGAGCAACTTACACAAAATATTTATTGTGTTACTGAGTTGTCACCATGTGGGAGTAATTGGAGGCCCCATCTCTCAAAATGTCTAAAACGAAGATGGAAAGGAAATAGGATGCTCTGTGTGAGAATGCTCTCCACAATGGAAGAGACTGGGTAGAATACTATGTCTCAGTCACTGCCAATGTTCCCATACAAAGATGCGTTTCCTTCACTGGACTGATGTCTTATCTAAATAAAAGTGCACTCTTTTATAAAGTCATCTAAAGGGTGTCACTTTCTTCCCTTGGCGATATCTGCCTCGTTTGTACTTGCTGGAGTTCTTTTTCCTATTTCACTTAATCACACAGTAGTTAATGAAGAGTGGCGCTCAGTGCGAAACACAAGTAGCCTCTCTTCCACCACTTGTTTTTTCCAGGTGGGAGGATAAGCCCACAGTGTGCTGTTGAATGGATGGAGAAACCCTGGACATCTGGAACGATCCAGTGCCTTAGAGAAATTAGTAATGATTCTTTGTACCGGTTCAAACTCAGCTCATTTCACCAGGCCATAATGGTCTGAGGGTGGTGTTCCTTCTCCTTTGTCTCTCTAGAGATGAAACAACACCTAAACAGGGAGAACCCGAACCACAGTTCCATGAGTCGAAAAGCGATCAGTAGTTACATCCAGTATTCAAATCTATTGTTTTCCCCTGCCAACTTCTTTAGTTCCACTGTAGTACTTTCCAGGAAACACGGTTTCATTTAGATACTTGTAGGAATTATTGATGTCAGACATGTCAACTGATGTGTTCGATATACTAGTCTATGTCACTATGGAGAATTGTTTAACAAACCCAAATATCAAGTCGCATTAATTGTGAAGTTAACATTGCATTCTGCTGTTGTCTCCGTAATACAAAATCAATTATTCTATCCACTGTTTGTGGATATGGTTCTTAACCAACTGCCGGGATCTTACGTTGCAAATAACAACTGTGTGCAAGGTCAAAAGTAGTAGGAAGGGAAAAGTCATGTAAGTTTCACTGTAACTTTATCTACTCTTGCTTCCTACTGGTTGCTGTATCTACCAAACGGGTGGAAGGAGGCCTTTTCTTTTTTCTAAGCCACTCTGCTAGTGGAATATTGATTTTTCTCTCAAGAATACCCTGCGTTCTCAGGTGATCACGTATTTTCTCACATTATTCATATTGACAGAGCACCTTTGTTCATGGTTGACATCCATTATTGAGCTCTGATAGTGCTACCCACCATGGGCTTTTCCCAGTGGTCAGGTGATAGGGCTTCAGTGCAGGAGATGGAAGGGGACAGGTGTTTTGCAATATTTTTGGTCGTTGAAAAGCAATTATTATTCATCTGAAAAGATGTCATAAGCTCTGAGAGTGCTGCTTAGCAGCTTTCCTCACTCCAACATCAATGCCTTAAAGTCCTTTGTGTCGCTGCTGGAACAGAGGAAAGAACTGGGCACCAAAATATTCTAGTGTTACACTATATAGGAGCAATGTTGTTGCTGCGTGAAAGAATAACCGAGACTTGTCATGCATGGTTGCTGTTCTCACCTCACTTCCTTCTGTTTCAGCTAGCTGTGAGGTGGCTGGAGCATAACTGCCATTACCAGCATATGGACGAGCTCCTGCAGTACATCCGCTTTGGCCTAATGGATGTGGATACACTCCACACGGTTGCCCTGTCCCACCCCCTGGTCCAGGCAAGTGAGACGGCAACTGCCCTGGTCAATGAGGCCCTGGAATACCACCAAAGCATCTATGCACAGCCTGTATGGCAGACCCGCAGGACAAAACCGCGATTCCAGTCAGATACTCTCTATATTATTGGTGGGAAAAAGCGTGAGGTCTGCAAAGTCAAGGAACTACGGTACTTCAATCCTGTGGACCAGGAAAATGCTCTCATAGCCGCCATTGCCAACTGGAGTGAGCTAGCTCCCATGCCCGTGGGAAGGAGCCATCACTGTGTGGCAGTCATGGGGGATTTCCTGTTTGTAGCAGGAGGAGAAGTGGAACATGCCACTGGCCGGACATGTGCGGTGAGGACTGCCTGTCGCTATGACCCCCGCAGTAATTCCTGGGCAGAGATAGCACCCATGAAAAACTGCCGGGAACATTTTGTGCTGGGTGCCATGGATGAATACCTCTATGCAGTAGGGGGCAGAAATGAACTGCGCCAAGTTCTACCTACAGTTGAACGATACTGCCCCAAGAAGAACAAATGGACTTTTGTACAGTCCTTTGACAGATCCCTTTCGTGTCATGCTGGATATGTGGCTGACGGTCTCCTTTGGATATCAGGTAGAGCGTGCCTACTATGTTGGGTTTAGTGAAAAACGCTTTTGCTGTAGCTTAAATGTAAAAGTTCTCTTCTGGAGAGTGGCCCTAAATAATTGAACAGTTGAGCCAAGGATGCCATTTTTAGCTAATTAAGTATCATTTATTGAGCACCTACGCTATAGAGAACCATGACATTGGGAATAATTGACCTTTCTGTGGTTTTTCCGAGTGGTGGCTGTTGTAAAAAGTCAGGATGAAAATTACGGGGCCATCACGGCTGTCTCTCTGCGGAGCCTTGTATTGCTCGATGTCAGCTCTTGATTATCTGTGGGGTGAAATCCACAACCACTGTTTTACCCAAGTTGTTTGCTTCTCCTTTCACTCTTGGCTGCCCAGCTAGAAGCCATTTCTTTGGAGACAGGAGAAGTAAAATCCTAGTAAATCCAATTGGCTGAGTATAACAAGAGAGTCTCTTCCAGGGATTAGCTCTATGCTGTCTATGGGAGGAAGGGATTAAGTTGTGGACAGAAAGCTTTTGGCTTATCTGTTGAGTGGTAGTTACCGGTGCCATCCATTCCTGCATACTCTACCATTCTTCCTGACCATCTGTAGGAAGTTTAAAGTCTATTTGTGTTTACTCTTTTCACTTATGTTTAAACAAAAAGACACCTTTTGCTTATGGAAAAACTAAGGAAACAAGTGTAGTGAACAGAGTACAGTATAACGCAGCTTCAGGTAGTAGTTGCTCGTCTTTGTCCACCCTGGCATTCTTCAGCCCCTACCAGCTGCCATGTTGTTGTACAGAAGTCTATGAAGCATGCGTCATTCATCTTACAACACCAACCTGTGTTTGCTGTTCTCAGGGGGGAAAGCTGCCTCTTCTCTCAGTTGGAGGATATCCATTCTTTAACCCAAATAGAACCTGGGTTTCTGTATCACCAAGGAAACATAGATAACAGAACAATCCCTAGGTTAGATAGTAGAGGGCACCTCCGATGCTCAGACTTGGAAGCATTAGAAAGTGAAGGCTTCTGGGATTTCCCCAGCTGCCATTCAAGTTTTAAAAATCTCAATTTTGACAAAATCATCCCTAGATTAAATTGGTTTTGGCTTTGTTCTCTTTTCCTTCTACTATCTTCTGTAACCCAGGAGTCAGAGCCTCAGCTTCTCTGGCTGAGGCCTGGGTAATTTTCATTGATGTCACCTATCTTATATTGGAATTTAAATAGTTGATGAATTAATACATGAAGCAAAGACTAAGTATGTGATGAGGATAAATGAGAACCCAACATTTACTGGTCCTATATACCAAGTAAAAACATTAGAAATTAATGTATATATAGAAATACTTAACTAAATCTTATTTATTAGTAGCTCCTTTCCTTTCCTTTAAATACATATTTTAACTACTAAAAGAGTCACCAGGATTGTGATTGGTTTTGCTGAAGAAATTTCCAAATGTCCGTGACTGAGACTTTGCTAATAACAGGAACAGGTCTGGATTTTCCTGAACACAGAGCAGTGATGGGTTTATGAAGTCAATGCAGTTTTTATTTTCTCACAATTTACATTTCTTCCTTTGACTCATTTGGTTTTCACATGTTACTAATGCAGTATACTCTTAAAATTTGCAATATGCTTTCTAAATTTTGCATGAATTTCACATAAATATTTTAATAAGCGTGTCTTGTTTGGCATGGAAAAATATAGCTTTTTTGTTTGTTTATTTATTTATTTATTTATTTATTTATGTTATACCCCCATAGCATCCCCCGTCCTCCCAGTCCTCCCTCATATCCTTGATTTTCCCTCACATAGTTATAATACTGTGACTACTCTCTACCCACTTCAGTGATGCTTAAGGGAGCAGACACTCAGAAACCTAGTCCCACCTACCATCCTGGGATCAAGTATCTTCCCTTTCAATAAGGGTCTATGTTTCCTCTTTCCATTTCCTTCCATCTATCACCTTACTATATATCTTATTGCTACCTCACTCTGCTTTCCACCTACTGTGAAAGGAAATACGTTTTGTTCCTTGAACTAACAAACACTATCTGTGTTAACCATATTTAATGAAAACAATCAGAATGTTCTCGGGCTCGCTTTTCCCTACTGTGTGCTTGAGATGAGATGCTCACTTCCCCGAATAGAGTATGAGACCTTTAATTGGAAAGAAGAGGAAATCACCAGTGACATTTCTAATACCTGTGGTCGTCTGCCTCTTTCCTCGGGCCTAGCTTACAATAAATCAATTGTGAACGTAACCAAGGGTGGGGAAGGCTGGCTGGGTTTGCTCATGGACCCCTTTAAAAGGAGACAAGATTTCATCTTCCTGTCTCTGATTTGGAAATGTTAGCTTGGTTTATTGGAACAGATGAAAGTGTGTGAAGCTAGTTCTTAATGTTGACCAAATAATCAAGTATTTCCACATGATAGAGGAGGGTTGAGTCATTGGCATCCTCCTGGAACTCTGCAAGCTTTCTCAGGGGTAGGGGTGGTGTGGATTAGTAAGAATGTGGGTTGTAAAGGCTCAGTTCTGTTCCATAGAACACAGAATGAATGTGTCCTCAGAGGCCTGGTATTTGTAGTATGTTCTTTCCTGCTCTGTACCCTCTCCTGTTCTGTCCACTTGAGGTCAAGGCATTTTGAAAACTGTGCTCAGCTTATCAGTATGAGAACCAGAGAATTCAGAAAGCTAGGTTGGATGGCTATGCCCATTATCATTTAATTTAAGATGTTAGAGACAGTCAAATTTTAAAGGCTTCTGTAGCATTTGACCCTGTGACCCAGTTCACAAGTGCTCCACCACATTTCTGTTTGAAACCCACCTCTCCAAAGTAAAATAAGCATTAAATATCCTGTCACTGTGTTTTAAAAATGCATGCTCTCTGTTGTACAGGATAACATGTGAACCACTAAAAAGATTCTTGTGAGTTTGTATGAAGGAAAATTAATCTGAGCCCATCTTGCAGAACGTATCTGTTTATTTTTATCAGATGGCTGCAAAATAGTGAGTCGCTGACCATGACATTGGTGCCTAAAACTAGAAAACAAGACAAATGGTACAATAGTTACTCAAAAGCATCATGTCGTATTTCCTTGATTTTTCTCAGTAAATGCTGTATCCGTTTATACTGTGGTGCTGTGCCATAGATAAATATGATTAATTCAGAAAACAAACCTCCTGCCCTGTAGAAGCTGACAATCAAAGGGTTTTATTTTTATTTATTTATTTACTTTAGATATGACACCAACAAATGAACCTTTGTTAACCCTTCTTTAATTTCCTAACAACCAGTTTATTTTCATCTTAGTTGGGTTTAGATGATGCTTATGTTGCCCCATTTTAAATCACTTTAACTTATTGAATCTACTGAAAGAACTCTGAGTTTTCAACTATTATTCTCCAAAAATTAAAACATGGTAATTTAAAAATAATGCTGTTAAAATACCACAGCTTTGGTTTTCCTCTATCTGCACAGATATTATTGTGCTTGCACTTAAAATACTGGGAACTAAGAATAGGCATGGTTGAGATTGGGGTGTGAAACCTTTAACTGTACAATAGAGTACAGTTACTCACAAGTGTGAAACTTACTCCTCTTCTTATCCATCATGAGATGCTGAGAAGGGGTCCCAGCTTCTCGAAGTCCTATTCTGCTCTCATGCTAGAGCAGCAGAGTTGGATACAGTAGGCAGTCTCAGTGTGTGATGGTGTGGTGGGGAAGCCTTTCCAGGGTACAGAAGCATGTGAACAGCAGGAAGTAATTTTCAAGGTGACATGCAAAGTGGCACCTTGGGCTCAACTGGCCCCACCCCCTCTAGCTACTTTCTGTCATCCATTTCACCTCCCTGACTTTCCATTTGAATATCATCATTTAATCAGTTCAGTAACTCCCTTGTCTTTTATGTGCACAGTGTAGATATTATGTATATTGTTTAGACAATAATGACACAGAAATCTGTATGGGTTTGGTACCAACAGTTTGTTTGTTTATTGTCAATTTTTTTGAAGCCATGTTGAATCTACAGATGCAAAAACCCTGGACACAAAGGACTAACAGCTTCCAGCCAGCTGCGACTGTAGGAGTGTTACCAGGAACTGAATACAGGATGGGGCATCTTCCCAGTTTTACAGGCGCATGACAGTTTTCAGCATCCTGTTCCCTACTGACCCTCTTTCCTACTCTGCTTTACTGGTGTTAACCTGACTCTATTCCTTAAGACCCCTCCCTCTGACTTAGACAGAGGACCTTGCCTTCTGTTTTTCGTGGTAAATGCAGAGGGGATGATGAATTCTGTGAGGAGACAGATGGGCAGATGAACAAGACATGGTCTGGACAGGGACCAGGGGCATCATCTAGGAAACATTAGCAAGGAGGATGATGGGCCGACCCTCTGGAAGAAGCCTCAAAGTGTGAGGCACACAGGGTCAGTGATGGGGAGGAGTTTGCAGCACCAGGGCACAAACAGGAGTCCACAATGAGTGAGACTTGTCTGGAACTACGGGAGTACCACAGTCCAAAATATTTTCCCTGCGTTTTTCAATTACAAACATTTCAGTGAAAGGGATGTCTGATGAATGGAATATGGAGAGAAGCAGAGAGCTATGGTTAAGGTGTAATGAGAAAGTATGGATCTTGAACTCCAGGTACAAGCTACACTGGCTGCTTGACTGTGATTCCCATGGACATTGTATCATTGAAATTTCTTCCCTGAGTCAGAGCTCATCCAATAATGTTCCAGTTATTGTCTGCCTTCCCCTATACACCTACCTATGGGAAGAGATTGTGCAGGTTTTGGCATACATAATTTAATCCTTGTGACAGCAGTATTTTTTTTCTTTTATGGTAAATTGTCTTTGACTTTAAGAAGGGGAAGGAGATTAAAAGGATAAGAAGAAAGCAAAGAGAAATTTAGCTGAGAAAAGAGAGTGTAGTTAGAGAAGAAAATCCAGATCAATGGAGGGGCTTTTCTTTTTTGAAAGGATGCAGATGCACTAAGGAAACTTGTAAGGA